TGGAGTCAAATGTTCATCATCTTTATAGTGGCCATTAAGTTACATACGATTGTTATTGTAAATATTTATTTGAAGCCATATCGATCTTGTATGATACATGATAATAAATGCTCATACTGTATATACACTCATTTGTTATTTTGTCTGAAAATATATTCTATGCAATATGCTACAGTTATAATATATTTATAAGCTTGTTTCAGTAGTAGAACTGTTTCTTTAGCGAAGAATCTTTAGAAATAGCAGAATTTTAGAAATATTTTTGTTAAATATATTTAATCTTTCATATATTTATTTATATAAGTCTACTTATTTTTATATAATTTTTTAATAATTTTGCTTTAATAATTTTTCTCGTATGTAAAATAAATTTCTATAAATTTCTGATGTCACGATTTGACATACGTTTCTTCAAGTGCAGATAATGCAAAAAAGGTACAAATGCTATATTTTTATTTTAATCTAATATAATGCAATAACATTACCATTCTAATTATGCTTTTTGTATACACGTTCCTTCCAAATAATTGTCAAATAATATCTATATCTTATTTTAATACAGAATTATAAATTTTTTTATATTTAATATAAGAAAGAATATAATAAAAAAAGAATTAACAGCAATGGATTATATAAATTGTCAAAATTTTATCTTTTAAGCAATTTTGCCAGTTGAATTATTTTCGATTCGAAATTTGCTTGTAAAATTTAAGCTGTTTTTTTTTTTAATTGAATTTCTTGCACAATTCAGCTAAGAATAAAAAATCGTGATCGAAGTTGTGTCGTAACACGTCAATCAGGTGCAAAAGGTGCAGAATGAGCGCGGACGGAGTTGTGTCTCGCGCGGTGATGGAACGACATAACATTCAAGATCAATAAGGATTGCGACGGCGTCGCGCATGACAGAATTATTTTGCGAATTGCAACAATCTCAAGGAGGTTATGACGATGACTGGGGACCAGGTCGGTCCCATATGATCTCGCCGTCTGGCTCGCGTAATAAATTAGAAAGCATCCCTGCTCGCGGTCCTCCACGGACGAACGACGACGACGGCGACGATGTTCGAAGGGGCGATAGCGGCATTTTTAAACCGCCTGCTGGGCAGGTACGTGGAGGACCTGGACACGGAGCAGTTCAATGTCGGTATTTTCTCCGGAGATACGTGCCTCACCGATCTGAAACTGAAGCCGGAGGCTCTGGTACGATTTTCTTTTTCTTTTTCTAATAATTCAGAGATGATAAAGAGAATGTAGAATATAACTGAATATGTATGTGCATATATGAGACACTTATGTTTGCAGTATCAACTGGGATTACCTATTAGAGTAGAGATCGGCTTGATAGGAAAAATTATTTTGAAGATACCATGGTCTGGACTCTTCTCGCAGCCCATTGTGATATGCATAGAGGTAGCCAACAATTTTTATGATACATCACGATAAGATGTGTTAAAATAATGATACAAATGTTTCTTCATTTTTTAAGGATGTATATGCAGTAGCAGTACCTGCATTATCTGGTCCATATGATCCAGAAATACAAAAACGTCTAATAAGAGCGGAAAAAAAGAAGATACTTGAGGACCTTAAGGAAGATGAAATATTTAGAACTGGTAACTAAATATTTCTATTTTTCAATATTTTGTTAGTAAAATGCTTCATTGAGAGATTTATCTTATATATACTAGGATTTAACATCTATGTAAATTTATATATATGTTTAACAAAATTTTGCAATTGCAAATAGTAATAACAATCTTTAAATAATTTTAATTGTGTTTAAAGTAATACTGATTTTTCTAACATAGGTTTACCTCCTCAACTATTTGATAGTCTATTGGCATCAGTTACCAAGAACTTTCAGATTACTATAAATAATGTACATATTAGATACGAAGAGAAAATATTGCGCAACTTCCTCTGTGCCTGTGGTATATGTATACAAAGTATATCAATAACGACTACAAACAAGTAATTCATTAATGCATATTGTCATATTTCTCCTAATTGTCTATGTTCAGTATTATCATTAGAAATGATAAATTCCAGCAAATGGAAGCCTGGAGTGTGTGCTACAAACTCGCAGACGGTATACCAGCTTATACGCGCGGAATCGCTCAGTGTATACATGGATCACGACACTGAATCCTGCATAAATCTCCAGAATAATTGGGACATGTCCAATTTGCTTGCATGGAAAATCATGATGCACAGAGCCTTACAGACATTTGGAATGAAAAACAAGGAGTTTCAATTTTGTACGTTTCTAAATTACAAAGTCAATTACAGAATATTGATCGCTATCTTGAAGAAATATCATTTCAAATTCTGTCTTGATTTTAACGAAAATTTTTTTTATCGCAAGTGTTGAAGCCCTTCACAGCCAAGATCAAAATCATCATACATAAAGGCACAGAAACTCAAGCTTCACGTATGCTAGTCGATATTGTTCTGCAGGATGTAGCAATGCAATTATCCGAAGCGCAATATGCCACGTTCTGTCATATTCGTGACTCTTTGCTACGTGCGACTGTTAATAGGTAAATTTACAAATTCTATATTTTTTTGTTTTAATATGCATTTTTAATAAATTGATAAAATCTATAATCAAAAATGATATCTACAGGCCGCATGCTAAATATCGTCCTGAGAAAAGCGTGTATGAAGAACCGTCATCCTGGTGGAAATACGCGTATAATTTCGTTTTGAATCACTACATTAAACCGTACACTTGGTCACACATAGTCGGACACAGAAGAAATTACAGAAAATACAAAGACGCGTGTATCCAAAGCTTGCAACGGCCAAACGACACAGAGCTGAAGCTGGATCTGCAAAAGCACGAAGACAACTTGACCATATTAAATATAGTGATTGCGAGAGAGCATGCTAAGCAAGAATTGAGAAATAAGGATATCGAACGAGAGTGCCAAATAACAACGAGTCCATCAAAAGATGTCAGTGCGGAAACCATATTATCGAATAACGACGAAGCAGAAAATATAACAAATCAATGCAATAAAGACGAAAATCAAAAATTATTTGTAACAGATGTAATAGACAATTCATCCGTTTCAAAAATAAAATCGGAGAAGATCCTAAAACAGATCGGTAAATATATTTGAGTTGCCTTTATTACACAATAATATCAATCAACAGAATGTTATAAGAAATAGTTAAAAAAAATCTATACTGTTTTTCTGAAGAATCTTTTTATTTATTTGCAGATTATAAGTTAAACTTTACTCTGGCGAATTGTTGTTTGAGCCTTTTAAGTAAAGGCAAAGAAATGCTAATTATAACCGTCACACAATTTTTGACAAGTATTGAAGCACGGCCTACATTATTAGCTTTCAAGATATCTGCTCGTGCTGAAAGTTTTGTAATCGAAGCTATATCAATCGATGGGGATTTGTTTCCTCTTATTACAGTGGATAATGTATTAACAGGTAATGCGTTTATCTCTATAACAAATTTAAAAGCTATTATGGAAATACTAATGATTATATGTGTAATAGGGAATGTGTCCACATATTTTTTGGCAATAGATTTTGAGAAGAATGGATTAAATATGGATCCTATTTTTGAAATATCCTTAAAGCTAGAAGCTATTGAAGTGACCTATCATCATGTAATACTTTTATATATTAGTTCAAACAATCTTCCAATCATAATTTCTGTAAACCTTACTTATAAATCGCTTTTCAGTTTGCTATGGTAGAAATTATAAATTTTTTCAAATTTAATACCAATTACCTTCATGATACGATTCGCGGAGCATACAGACTGTGGGATTGCGTAAAAAGAAAATATTTGAGTTTTGTGGACGATATCGTCTCACAAACATTAAGGATCAGCTTCAAAATAGACATTAAAAGTCCATATATTATATTTCCTGAACATGGATCGATTCAAAAGTACGTTTGCTACATGTTATATTTGTAGGATTAGAAAAAAAATGCGTATATAAATATCGATTCATATAAATTTACATCTTCTTTATAGAGGAGGACATATACTTGTTTTGGATCTTGGTAATATAACACTGACCAACGAGCTTCAAGCAACGAATTTGCAATTGGAGGATGCCACTCTCATGGAACTAGAAGAATTACTTTATGATAGACTCAACATGACATTCTCTGGTGCGCAAATTTTATTTTGCCATTCGGGTGATGATTGGCGCTCGGCAAGAAAACGGAGTGATTCGGAATATCATTTATTACCTAAATTACAAGCAAACATAACTCTGTCATACAGTATTAGACCCGAATATCGTCAATTACCACGGTAATATACATATTTACATCGCAATATTTTGTTTATATGTCATTTTAACAAACAATATTTTACAGGACAAAACTTAACGTACATATCTCTAATGTAAAGTTTAATCTATCAGAAAATAAACTGCGATTAATGGCGCATTTTCTGAATAAATTGCTAATGCTGTATGAAAATAACGTTGAAAAATATAAGGCTACCTTGATAAATTCGATTTCCGGTCGAAAATCAAGTATTATTTTTATTTCCACGAAAGAATTGATAAAGATACAATCTAGTGTATGTTTATCATCTGTCACAATGATACATAGCGATTTTAAACCTGTTATCAAGGAAGTTGTAACTAATAATGTACCCAAACTTGACAGGTAATGATAATGTATAGATATTAAAACATTTCGATAAAGTAATTTTAATTTTTTAACAGAAGCGTCGTTTCTTCGGAAGTTAGTGAAGAGGATTTAGAATTATTATCAAAAACAATTAACTTATCCGGATTCGACGACAATATATCTCCGTGTAATCACATTAATCTTTTACTTCGGTTTGCTATAGGAGAGGCAAGTAAAGTTTTATTTATTCATAATTTTATTAATTCATAATTCCATATTTCATTGTGCTAATAAATGTGCTATTTTATTATATTGATTTGAAATTTAGTTCTCCGTAAATCTGGAAGATGTAGTGGATAGTCGAGAACAGCCTTATTTGAATTTGAGATTGCACACCGTGTACTATGAAACGGCTATAATGGAATATGGTGTTGCCGTTCAATTTGGGATTGGATCGATTTTTCTCATTGATAAGACAAACGCAGGCGTTACCGGATCGTATCTGGAATTGATATCCACTGATGAGTCCTATGAAGTCCTCGTTGTGTCATATCGCAAGGTAATTTGTAAAGATATTGTCTGTCCCGAATTAATAAATACTCATCGATTTTTTTTTCAGGTTAAATCAAATTGTCCCGATTTCAAATCACACTTTAAAAACATCGAACGCTCACTGGTTGTGAATTTGCTGAATATTAACATAAATTTTCATAGATTCGCATTATTGAAAATAAAGGATTACTTGCATAAATTTCAGACGTAAGTAGAACAATCTTACATAAAAAAAACCAAGTTTTAAAAATCTATGAAAAATGATAATTTGCAGTGCGTGTCAGGGTACACTTTTATTTAAATATGCCGAGAAAATATATAGTAATATTATGAAACGAGAACAGAAAGATATTGATCCACCTATCCCACCAGGTACAAATATTCGAATACAAAATATAAAATAAATTTTTTCTTTTAAAGAAAAAAATATCACTTAGTTTATTTTATAATATTTTTTCAGGCGCCATCAAACTGAATTATTCAACCAGGCTCAGCTCATTAGTGTTGCGATTTTGCGACAAGGACATAGATTTAATGGAAATTAAGATTTTGGGTTTCGAAAATGATTGTATCTATAATGCGAACGAAAGAATGGTGTTGCGTGCGCATCTTAGGAACATACTCGCTGAAGATTTAATTGATGATACACTTTATTCCAAAGTAATTATTTTGAATAACATGTATAATACGCATACGTTTATATATACATATATTTTTTTTTTTCATTTTATTTGAAGATTTTGATGACCGACGAAGATAAGGTTTTTGATCTAAAATACGTGAGACACACGCCAAGATTATACAAATGCTCGGATATCGATACAAATCAAGATGACGTGATGTCGGATGGCACCTTCAAGCTTTCTATTGGGCGAATAAATTGCGTGATTATTTCTAAAATTCTGTATGATTTACTGGTATATATTTACGGTATATATTTATGCCTAATGTTTGTATTGTCATGATATCAATACTCATTTCGACTATTTTTGTAGAATTTCATAAGACCGTTTACTTTCGCATATTATACGCGTTCTTTATATTATATGAAAAATAAATTCATCGGAGGAATTGAATTATTCAAGAGGAGCGCAACAAAATTGCATATTTTCATTGATATACAAGGGCCTACTTTTTTACTGCCACAAAAGAAGGATGCCCCGAGTCTTTTAGTTTTCGATACAGGTGAAGAATTATATATATTCGAAGTAAATACAATCACATATCGATGGAAAATTCTTTTATAACATTTATTTTCAGGCATATTATCGGTAGAAAATTTTTTAAGAATAGCGGACAGTCAATACAATCGAGCAAGGCGAGTGCTAGTGATAGCAATCAATTAATAATTGATAATATTTTGGTAAAATTGAAATCCATGACCGTATCTAGAGCTATTATGACTCTGACACGAGATTTAGAAGTACAGGTGAAATTAAATATTTTAATTGATTTTTAATTGTAATAGATTATTACAAATTAAAACTGAAATAATATCACATAGATTTTCACAATTTTAGGAACCGATTATCGAACCTATACAAATTCAATTTGATATCAAGAGAAAAACCGAGTACCGTAGCATTATTGAATTTCAAACTTACGGTTTATTCAATGTGCAAGGGGCAATTGATATCGTAAATGTAAACTTGAGTCAAAGGGATCTCAAATCCCTCATATCGGTGTGGCAAGATAATATTTCAAAGATACCATTATTTAAGAAAATTGGTGAGAACGAAGATAGAATTCTAATGCAAAATATCCAAAAGAATGCCAACCATGACGATGTTATGGTTAAAAAGTTGGAAAACTTTTTAACGCATAATGAAACAGCATTATGCGAAGTCAACATCAAGCTTACGTTGGAGGGCTTGCAATTAAATCTATTTATGGATACAGAAGAGGTGTGCACTTTTTTATCTAAATTAATGTTCGCTCGAATATATTTGATTCTATATATTTTAAATATTATTTTTATAGGTATTAAGCTCTCCTGTGCGTGATTTAAATCATGGTTTGTGCAAGCTAAGCTTCGGAGAAACTATAAATACTTGGGACTTTTATAGTGATAAGAGTTTAAAAATGAAACTATCTCTGCAAAGTTGTTTATTGCAGGATACTCGTAAAGACTCAGTTGTTGAGAAAAAGTACCGTATCGTTCGTTAAGAGTTAATAGAATAGTTAATAACATTGAGAGTCACAAATTCATTTCTGTTTTAGGATAATACAATCGCCGGCGATATCGTTAGAAAAAAATTTGGAGTCTTGTATTTCTGTATCGATGTCTCCGATTGTCGATGTCACATATAGCCGTACTCAAGCAGAGGAGAAATGTTTTGACGTTCTTATTCAGGATATACGAGTTAATTTATCTGTGCCTTTCTTAATGCACTTGGGACGTTACTTTTTGGATTCCTTACCTGGTGAACAGATAGAGAAAGGGATCATCAACCATGGATATGATAACAATCAAATGGTAAATATAAATCTATTCAGACTAATCAGTTTATTTAAAAATATTAGCAATATTCTACATTAATTCTAACTAAAAAAATCTTTAAATATTAATAATTAAATTAATTTTATACATTTATTTGATTTCAATCAAGAACCGGAATGTTTTAAATGCAGAAATTGACAAATTAAGTCGCTCTCAATATTTTAAGGAACAACCAGGTAGTTTATGTGCATGTTGTATGCAAAAATCGTTTTCTCTTATTTAGTATTGTATATGTGAAAGTTCGCAAAATCTTCGATGCAGAAAATAACATGAATAATTCTAATGTGTTTAGGTACGTCTATATCGATTAGAATTCAAAAGCCAGACATCTTTCTATTCGGTGACTTAGAAAAGAGTAACACGCATATGATACGAATGCAAGCGGAAATCTTTATTGAAAGTAGTAGACATAGTCGATCTTCCTCGATAGTCTGTACCCTGACCAATGTCAATGCCAAGACTAAAGGACAAGGAAACTACGAATCTCCGTGCTGGTTGTTACGTCCTTGTGATATAGAACTCTGTAAGAAAAAATTATCATGTGGTAATGAAGAAATTACTGTTGCTATAAATAGTGTTAATATACATCTATCAGCCGAAGTGGTTCACACCTTCATCGATGTAAGTTATGTGATTTAATGTAATTTTTGGTAATTTTTCTGAAATAAATCTATAAAATAATATAATAATATAAGAATATAATAATATTTAATAATTTATTATTTTATTTGCGATAATTTTTAATCGCAAAATCTAGAATCTAAAATAAAACCTATATTCATATTGATATTTATTAAAAATTATTCAGTGAATTAATTGTATTAATATCTGTATTCCAGATATTGAATGAAGCGTCGACTTTTCTGAATAGCATTAATTCGAAAACAAACGACGGTAATAATCAGAATGCAAATGTACACAATAATCTTTGGACACCAAAGAAAGTTTCTAGTATACCATATAAGAAAACGGATGAAGGTAGATATCTCGCATACATCACAGATATATTATATTCGTATTTTTTTTTTGTTTGTGCGCTTTGTTTAGGTGATACGGAGCTGCATCGTCGCCGTGGTGATCATGTAATATTCAACTTGAGACCAGTACTAATATGTTTACTGTTGGAAATGGAGTACGCCGTGGGAAGATTTCCAGTAATGAAGATGGAAACCGTCATTACCAGTACCATCAACGATTGGCGTAACAATTTCCACCTTGAATCCAATGTAAAACTTCATGCATTTTGCTACAATAAAGCTCGTCGAAACTGGGAACCGTTTGTGGAGTTTTGTACGAAGGACGACGTTAACTATAAACCATGGGAATTTACTATCAAGGTTACTAATATTATCTGCACCGCACGTATTTAATTATTTACCGATTGTTTATTCAATGTAATTTTATATTGTCCATAATTTATTTTTTTCAGACATATCGAGGTGAAGCGAATATGATTAACTCCAACTGGACGGATCCTTGTCACTATATAAAGCAAGACCCAGTAAAAACGAGAAAGAAAGATATGCAATACAATGAGGAGGATACCACAGATATGACATTTATCGGACCTGACGCTGATGCGGTTTCGATCACGAGAAAAGGTAAAATTATTCATCTGCCAATCACATATAATTATTATTTAATATGGATTATTTAATAAACAGAGATGTCTCTTTAATAAACAGAACCTGAAACTTACATTACGTGCGAAGATGAATCCGACACGGATGATGATGAGAGCGATACAAAATTAACGCGGATTTCAAATTATTTATTTAATAGTAATAGTAACAGTGACGATGAAGAAAGCGATTCCGATGACTCTAGTGCAAATGAAGACGAAGAGTTTGAATTGATACTGGATTGTAATCCCGAATGTTGTACGTAAATTCAAAGTTTCGCATGTTAAATCTCAATTATTTATTTATTAATATTAATGATTTAATACATTTTTTACACAGGTAATCCGGCCACGCGTACGCCGACAAAAATGAATCTCTCCGCGCCGTATATTATTTTTTATTCAGAGGACAAAATTAACATTACCATAACACAAGACATGATCGCAACGTGCAACGCGATTTCGAACGCGTTCACACAAGCGAGGGGTGGGATTCCATTTGTGCCCATTAACACGCGGGAGTTAACTGTAGTAAATGACATAGGTCACGCGAGTCGAGTGGAGCTGCTTGTTCAAGAACAAATTGACGGGAAGAATGTCACGCGTGTCGTAACCGCGCACAATTTTCACGATGGAAGTTCTCCAGTCAGCGCGCCTAGCAGTCCTGAGAATGAACAAGTGGATCTCACAAGTCCCCAGTGGACCGGCAAAGAAACTACCATAGCCGTATCGAAATGCGAAGTATTCCCCGTTGACTCGCCGGTATACGTCTACAAATTGATAACCGGCGAACTCCTTCGTGTCATCTTCGAAGGTAATTTTTGGCAAATACATCTCAAAAGTCAAATAAATATAAATGATCAATCTTTTTATTTTTGATATAGGTTTTGAAGATGTGTTGGTGTATTGCCCGAAGAAAGAAACGCGTAGTCTCGTATCGCTTCGTCCAGTGAGACACGAAGTTCGCTATTACTTGATGATAGAAGCATCAATAAATAGTTATCTGCATCGTACGATTTGCGTGCGATCCCCATTGCAGGTAATGCTTGCTAATCTATTCGCTTTGTGTCGATTTTATCTTGCACCGTTTGTATATGTTTCAGTTTCGAAACGAGACCTCGTACGCATTGGGACTTTATTACAAGAAAGCGGTAGTAGACAAATTGGGTCTGACACTAACTGGTGAAACTATGAATCCTTTCGATGATAATGTGAGAATGGCGATCATAGAACCTGATGCGATTTATAACATTCCCTTGTATATCGCTTATCATTGTGCGATACATGTTCTTCCTGCATATCTAGAGTGAGTAAAACTCAAATATCACGACGGGAAATATCAAGGCAGAGTGTAAACGTATTTACACTAGAATATAAAACAAGATAAAATATCTATTAACGAATGCATTATCTATAGGAAGTACCAAGTCAGTGACGAAGGGATTTATTGGAAAGATTTGAGGGGTACAGCAAATGCATTTAAAGATGTGTGCTGCGAGGCGAAAGGCGACAATAATCGTAATGTATTCTGTGTCAGGGCGATATGTACAGAACTCCCGTTAACGACTCGTCCTTCAGGCTGTCAAGTGCCGAATTATCTGATAAATATCGTACCACCCGTTATTTTTAATAATCAGCTACCCTTCGTCATCGATGTCAGTATACCTAGTATTAATTATGAGGTGAAAATCGAACCTGGAGAAAAAATAAACATGCACTCTCTGAATCATAACAGTAACGTGCAGTTTGTTTTCAAGGTATATACAATTATTTGAAACAGATTAATTATGAATGTATTTCGCTGCATCGTTTAATTACATAGTGTCCCAATAACTTTATACAGATACACAACTATTTAGGCACGTCTTGGATGGGTGCGGTAAAATTGAATATGAATCTAGAGCGCAAGTTCGTGTTAATGTCTACGGATAGCGAATCGGACTTGACAAAGCCCTTTTTGCTATGCTTAGAACTGTGCAAAATTCTAAGTTGGAACATCATTATACAGTCGCAGTACTGGATAATAAATAAGACCGGCTTGCCATTATTTATTCAGGTAACCTAATTGACGATTCGGTTTGGTTCCTACGACAATAAATACTTGATTTATTATATAATATTCTCCTTTTAGGACTGTCACTCTCATATAACATATGAGATGCCGGAGGAGGAGTTAATGGTATTTTCCCAAAAGAACAATAAAAAGAGCATGGTGCGATTGAGAGCTCATCAGTCCGAATGGTCAATGCCGTTTGGACTAGACGGGATCACGTCAATGTCTCTGATTGTTTGTCGCGATATCGAACGTGGACGAAAGTATCAAATCCTAACAGAGATAGAGAGCTCTCGTTTGTCTCCAATTTTTACGAAAATCATAACGTTCCTGCCATACTTCTTCATCTGTAACAAAACTAAGAGGGCCTTGAGATTCATGGAGGAGAATGAGGAAGCCGATCTCTGGAACGATCTCTTACCCGGGCAAGAGATATCGTTTTGGCCTGCTACTGAGTCTTTGAAAATGAGAATAAAATGGAGAAACAGTCAGTTAGTTTCGCAACACTTTGATATTACGCACACAGGCAAAACTGTGCTAAGAATGGATAACGGGGTAAGATAGAGATACATGATCGCTAATTATAACGGATCGCGAATGGTCTTTAATTCAGAAGAATTTTATTTAATTCATGTCATAACTTAAAGACTTCATAATGATTTTATAATTTACAGTCGGCACTGTGCGTAAAGATTGAAGGCGGCGTGAATACTCCGTACCGCATAATGTTTCGGAGACATGTCGCCGGTGACATACCTGTGAGAGTGGATAATCTTTGCGACAAGCTGTTTTTGAAGCTGAATCAAGTTGACTTAGGCCAAGTCGCTCTGCTCAAACCATTCCAAAGTTTGCTATATACTTGGGACGATCCTACTCAGACTAGAGAATTGATTTGGAATGTTTATAATAACAACGCGATCGGCTACACAGCGCAATTCGAGACGGTAAAAATATCTCTATTATCAACTTTTAGTTTCAAAACATACAATTTTGATTAAATTTTCTGATTTGCATTCTTTGATTCTTGTAGATGACTAATTTTGCAATGTAATTTTTAAAAAGAGTTTCAATCTTTGCACAGATTTATTACTTGTCTCACTTGTGTCTATTTTCAGGATGGCTGCGGACATGAAAAAGTGTCCTTTATAACCATTGAACGACGTCATAGTACGTCTCACTCTTCTGTCACTCCTAAATCGCTGGCGAATACAAAATCGTGGTCAGAAGACACGAGTGGAAATCATGTTCCTAGTGCCGAGTCTGACGCAAAATCGCAATCGTTAGAGCATGTGCACCAAGACCAAGCGGAGGTTTATTGGGTGAGCTATATGGAGGGTGAGCAACGCGTGTTGCTGTTCACGCAGCACGAAAGTGTGTACCTGAAAGCGAAGAGCATCATCGATTCCGAGGCGAGCAAGAGAGAAATATTCTTATCAATCGCAGCTATTGGAATCAGCGTTGTAAGTGAAAAGCGATCGCGCGTCATCATTTTGATTGCTATACAAGATTTTTTTCATAGGTTGTACAAGAATCTAATCTTCATAATGCCAGACGAGAGTTACTGTATGCCAGTGTGATTGACTCTGCCGCGCATTGGGAGCTTTATTTTAGCAAACGATGGAGGAGTCTGTCGTTAGAATTAAGCGCCTGGCTAGAAAATAAATACACGAATTCCGCAAAAGGGGCACAACTGGAGAATTTCATTGATGTATGATTTGTCTTATGAAATCTTTATGAAATTGCGAACATTTTTGCATTAAATATTTGTGACTGTGTAAATATTTTACAAAAGTATAAATTCCACACATACATTTTATTAAATTACAAACGTTAAATTAAATATAGAATGTATCTCGCTAATTCAGCATCAAAAGAAACAATTTTTTTATGTACTATACATTGTGTTTATTTTTCTTGTTTTCTCATCAAAGATGAATTAATTATTCATCTCTAATAGCTTTTTCTTTTACAGGTTGATTTTACGAAAATGCAGATGACTAAACCGTTTTTCGGCAAACTGCGAAGGACGTACTCGCCAAGTATCTGGTTGCATTGCAGAGAATCCACAACGCTTTGCTACTTGCAGGGATATGTTCATAGAATACAAGTATATGCATATATTATAGAATAAGCATATTTGAAATATATTCATGAAATATACAATATATACAATTTCCGTCTTATAGATCGATAATCAGTTGAACGAAGCTGTTTTTCCTGTAGTTCTATATCCGAGTATGCAAAAGACTTTTGTGAATTATACTGGAAATCGCAGATTAAAACATTGCTTAGAGTTCTCATATTTAAAGCAATGCAAATTGAGGAGCACTATTTACAAGTGCGTATGCATAAATGTATCGCTCGTTGATATCTTATAATTTTTGAATGACCTTTTTCAGAGGAATATCCGTCATTATCAGAGAATTCAATTTGAATCTAGAAGAGGCCTTTCTCTGTTGCTTGATAAATTTGATACCCAAAACACCGGAAACCAAGCATTCCATCGCTGCAAAACTTAGGAGAGACGTGTCCAATATGCGCGTTCCTTCAGTTCGCAAAATTAATAACGTAATGTCTAATCTTACGTCTGATATATATGTGTCATAAATACGTGAACTATTAAATGATTTGCATGTATCGTAGGACATGAATGGCAAGAAGGATTTAATAGAGCAGATATACATCTCCCCGATGGTGTTGCGCTTGAAATTATTGGCCAACACAGACGGCTCTAACGCGCGTAATTTCAGCAACGTACTCGGTTATCACAATGTTCTTCGATTTATCTTCGAATACGCGGAGAAGGGTACGTTTGAGAGGGATGCTGAATTTCGGTGAGTGATTATGAAATTGGGAGACGTACAATAATGCAAAATAAATCTCATGATTTCCTCATTATTTCTCTTTTAGATTGCCTGGCTATCGAAAGAGTTTCATTGCTGTAAACAGCGAACGGTTTCTCTCGCACCTTTCGCGTGTTTACGTGGCGCAAATTATGGAGCAGTTTCACGTATTGGTGCGCTTAACTACTGTCCTAGGAAATCAGTACGGCTATAACTTTAAGTCGCCAGGATGCAATTTCTACGATCCAGATTTGGTGAGCGAGCGAAAATGCGAATGACTAATACATCTTTCGTTTGGGACACTAATTCACGACGATTTTGCAGTTGCTGTTGTGCGGAGACGAATCTGCGGAGAAGTTGGCACACGAGGTCGCGTGTGAACTGGGATACGTTACGCCCGATGGTATACAAGCCTCATTTTTAAATGGGCACGATGCTCACACGCTACATTACAAGGTAAACGTAAGCTAAGGCCGAAGTCCATAAATTAATTAATTGAAATAGACTGCTTCTTCTAGCTTTAATGAAAAACTTAACAAGTTAATTTAACTATTCTTATTTGCAATCAATTTAAGTTTCAGTATTAATTAGTGTGATGAAAAAGATTAAGTCCTCAATTTCTAATAAAGATAATAGAAATTTAATCATCAGTAAAAAAAAATTCGATTTGATTCTTAATATTTGTAGTTGAAAATATTTGCTGGAGCGTTTTATGTAGTATGATTATAAAAGTTGATCTATCTGGTTGGACATTTCATTCTAGATGAAGGATACGATTTATCGGAATCCAGATGTGCCACCTTCAGTATTTTTGGTCGATCATTCGTTCGCTATGGAGATCGAGTTAGAAACTTCCGGTTTGATTACTACGTCAACAAACAGTAAGTAGATCGTGGCATAATGTACAAATGTAAATGAGAGCATTGCATGTATTTATTAATTCGCTTAGTATTACCATTTAATTTTCGATTAATTGATTGTAAATGATAGGCATCCATCGAGAAGAATTAAGATATTTCTTCAAAATGTTGGGGAAGAAGACATCCGTGCTGTTTCAAGTGGATAATTCTTGTTCGAAAACTTATTCAAAAGTAATAGCGGACATAATAAAAAGGTATTCGCGTTATCAAAACCATTTTCTCTGATCGTGCATTAACGGCATTTATCTTGAAGGTGAATTGCTTATCTTGCAGGGCACAAGAAGTGGGGCACAATCTCGTATCCAGAGTACGATTACCGCGATATATCAACCCGCATTTCGTGAGTATTATCGGTACAATGATTTCTTCTTCGTCTCTTCTGTGTCATTAACGATTAATGTCGTTATTCAGGGCGTAGAGTCATTCTCGACGCACAAAGCGAAGGGGACATACTTATTGAATGCTATAAGTAAAGGTCACTGCGTTCAGAACGATTCTTATTGGGGACACGCTGCGCTTCATAGCGACGGAAAATGCATCACGCTCGTATCTTTGCAGTAAGTTTAATTACAAGGTGTCTCGGATTTGTATTTTATCTCTTAATCGATTTGATGCGAGAAATGACTAGTTAGGTCTAGGACATCTCGTTCAAGATAAATCGGATGCATGTATTTAATACCGTGTCTTTAATATCAAGGATAAAGAAATAAGAATAAAGCTATTATTACGTTAATTTCCTCGAATTCAGAATGTAAAAAGAAATAAATTCTTGGGTTCTTTCTAGGCGGATATATTACATCGAGAAAGGAAGTTCATGGGGCTCATGGAATGTGAAATGGACCTTAGAGACTAATCAGTTGCTATCACCACCAACTATTGCTAAGAACAAGCTTATTTTACACATAACAGAGGTAACTGTTTGAGCTTGTCTCAAGAGCCATTTTAACACGTTTGCATTATCTAAATATAGAGAATTATTGTTCGCGCATTATCATGTTAAACAGATTTGCATTCTAGGTTTAATATCAGGATATTCAGCAATATGAACAATAAAAATTATAAAACATGTCATCAAAGTATCATCGAAATCCAGTTGGTCTTTATCTAAAAAATTATTAAAAATTATGAGAAATTTTGTTTTTCGAAACGATCAAACAAGATCCTAGTCAAGAGTCAAAATGGCACTATTAATTTAATATTAATATTAATATCAATTTAATATTAATCAATGTTTATTAAAGATCATGTTAAATATTATTCCTAGAACGATGAAGAGACGTCGTCGTCTATGGTAGACTGGTACGTGGAGAGCGAGGTCGCGGACATCCTGGAATGGCTGTGTCGCAAGATGAATAACGCAATGATCCTGAACATGGAAAACAGCATATGCTCCAAATGAAAATTCAAAGTTCATTGACGAGATCATCGTGAGGAGGAAACAATGAACGAGAAGGATGAAGAGATCAATGTATTTACATATTTAGTTCGGCGTAATAAAAGTCTATACGGTGAATGCAAAAAAAAAAAGTAAAAGACGCTACATATATCTCTCTAATGCCCTACACTCTTTTATTATTATCATCATTATCATATCTTGCCAAAGTCAGATCGCATCTTCGTCTTGGATAAAGTACGTCTAGTTTATTTCATAATTTATTTACAAAAAGTCTTAGTAAATTACACTTACAGGCATCTCCACTCGAACTAAAGTAAATAATTTAAGAACTACATGTATTTAGATATCTATAGAATAGGATACTTTGGGGTCGGGGAGAAGCTGGGACCAGGGAAAGTGTTCTGTTTAACTTATCTCAAACACGCTTCTAAATCGTATGTTTTCGCAAGAATTCGAGTCGTTTTAAACGGCTACACGTCGTATGTGAAAACTAAATCATCATTCCATCCCTCTTGAATTCATTCTCTCTTTCTTTCTTTCTCTCTCTCTCTCTCTTTACGAAACGAGGAAGTATACCAGTGTGCGACGACGAGTTCGAATGCGTCTCTTTTTTTTTCCTTTTCCTGTTGCGTGAATGTTCGTGAGAGTGGGATTTTACAATTAGGTAAATGTATGTACCGTAAGAATCGTCAAAATATGTGCAAGCTGACAATCAGTATTTGTTAGTTTTACAATAACGTATATGCGCGTTTTGAAAAAGCATAAAATCTTGGTTATAAATATATTCCCATTAGAATCGTTTAATGGCACGATCGAGCTTAAATTTAAAAATTCTCTTGTTTTATCTTTTTAATATATTTGTTTCTACATTATCGCCCAGAATATCAGTTCCATCTGCTTCTACACAATATTGGTTTTTCATTCTCTGTCTCTCCATTCTTTTTTCTTTATATTTTTCTTCTTTTTGTTATCACAACGGCATTTAATTACGTTTATAAATACGTTTATTTCAAAAAGATTGCAATTAGATTCGCTACTTTCAAATCTTTTTTCGAAAGGAAACCAGGAAGGACTTGAAAAAGAAAAGGAAAGAAAATTGTTTAACAACACTGTCAGATTTCCTAGGATTTCAAATAATCACTGCAAAATTAATGACGATTTAAATGACTATCTAATCGGTTATTTAGCTTCGCTATATTTGTGTTTTCTTTCTCTTTTCACAGACACTGTCCCCACCCCTTTTTCTACCGGCACCCCCATTCTCCGTGTATACATACTCTCATACATGCACCATGCATGCACACACGCATTTTTCTCCTTCCTAAAATCTTTTATATTAATACGCGCACATATACGCCCCTTTGTCGATGCGCCCTATCCGCGTATCGCATTCGCGCGAAAACATATTACATACGCACGTGTCACACAAAACATACGCAACTCTTGCGCGCACGTATAAACGGACACGTGCCTTAGACACCCACTCTACTCTCGAGTCCTCTCTTTCTCTTTTGGAACAGCTGTCTTCCCGTAAACACTGAATTCCTCTTTCCATCTCTCTCTTTCACCTTCTGTCCCTCTCCGTCTCACATATGTATAACTTTGTCGATTTACTCTGTACCTAAATTAGAAAAAGGCGAATAAAACGAATACGCAGATCCTTGGAATAAGGCTATGGTTCACTTCACAGCTAGAGAACAAATGTTTCGAAGCGTCTGATTGATCAGTCAGAACGACGAAGCCTACGTTTCAAAGCATTTGTAGTGTCAAGTCTGGCCCGCAGCCTTAGAGTAGGTACTGATAAAGAAAATAGGCGGAATAGCTGGGTTCGGACGATTCTAGAATAGAGAAGGGTCTGCAGCATCTCTGTCCTCTGCATTTTATCTCGAACATTTTCTCTTTCTCTCTCGTCCTCCGTCTTGGCGGTCCTCTGCCTCTCTATCTTTCTTTTTCTCTTCCTAAGTCACAAACATATACATACATACATATATAGATACATACATGCATGCACGCAATACATACAGAAATACATAACATGTACGCACGCATGCACGCTTCCTCGCTCCTTCTCTCTCCGTCTTCGCTTTCATGCTCTCTTTCTTTCTTTCTTTCTTTCTACTCTTCCCTCTCAATCAGCAGCTTTATCACACGTATATTATTTTTTTTTTCTCTTCTAGCAATGTCTTTCTTCAGTTCTAGTTTCTGCCTGTGCTTCTAAAATCGAGACTTTTTTTGCGGCCTTACAGCCGCAAACGTATATTTGCGCCACCGTAGCCGCAGCACAAAAATCGAATAAGATTCAAATGGAAGTGTGTTATCTACAAAATATCTTAATTACTCGCTAATTACAGCACAAAACATGCAAATATAAAAATTTGCATTATATTATCGTTTAATATTTATATATAATCATCATCCGATATATCATTCCATATCGCACCGTTAAGGTTCGCCGACATGATTCTTGGTATATATATTATTATGCAGCTGACCGTTGTCTCTTGAAAGTCCGTTTTCTTTTTTTTTTTACTGCGTATGCATATGTGTATTCATGTGCCAGCATCTATGCGCGTCCACGCAATGTGTATGCCATGTTAAGTGTGCGCGTGTATATGAATGTGTATGTACGTATGTATGTATGTATGATATATGATGTATGTATATGTGTACGTGAGTGGTGTGTGAGCTGTTTGTCATGTGTACACTATGTGTGAGTATGGGACTGTGTGTGCCTGTAGATTTGCGTAATTCCTATGTGTGTATGTATCTTTTTTTCTTTCATTAACTATGAAATATCTTACACTATCGATATTATTCCAATTCATCGAAGGGGAAGGTATACCGACGGGCGGAGATCGCATCGGGTATACCTACACGCTAACACCAATAATTAAACTTTCTTACTTCCTGTTTAATCGATATAAAACTACAACTGCGCTGCCATGGCTTTTCATCAGCACTTTTGTTCCTTCACTCGTGCACTCTATCACGTCGCGCGCGTGTCTCTCTCGCCTCTGTCTGTCATTCCCTCGTCTCTTTCTGTCAAATATATCCGTTTCCTTCGCCGTTTCCTCCGCATTTCCACACGTCCGCTCTTAAACGCACTATAGTCGTCCGTACACAACGTCGTATCATTACAACATCGTCGCCGCGTTGCGTGCGTCCTATTCCTTCTCATCCTCCTTCTCCTCATCATCATCGTCATTGTCGTCGTCATCGTCGGCACCGTAATAATAACATATTTGCGCGAATCGCGTAGTAGTGTCCCGACGAACGACAGAGAGTTACGTGCCCCTCGAACACTGGAACAACACACGCGCGACTATCGCGGCGACCTGCTGATCCAGGATCTGACTCATCACCAGAGCGAGTAGGCGGGATTCGTGTTGCAGAAGGAGAGTTCGGTTATCCGGATGCCTAGCGAGGTTGAGCAACGTGCCGGCCGCACGTCGCAGCATGTCGAGGCTAGTGCCCATCGATTCGGGATTGTCGCGCAGAGCCGCGAGACCATGTTGATTAGCGACGCCGAGTGCGCTCGACTCTGCCTGCTCGATGAATGCGACAAGTAGAGCGACGCACGGCGTCTGCAGGGCGATGGTGCGTGCGACGCCGCTGTCCGCGGCCGATAGGAAGTGTAGTAGATTTACGCCGAACTCGCGCAGCACCTGCTCCTCGCTGCGGCAGAGGAGCCTGGTCAGCACCGAGCATAGTCTCTGTAATCTCGAGTACGGCGGCGTCGCTACTACCAAATCGACATTGCACTCGGTCACGCATAATTTGCACAACGCTTCGAGCGCGAGTCTTTGTGGCGACAACGAGGAATTCGGCCCAACCGTCGGGAAGGGATCCTGACCGTGCGCGGCCGGGCATACGGCCCAATGCAAGAGGCCATCGAGTACCGGCCGCGAGATCTCTTCTGGATGCTGGCTCAGATCCATGTGGCCAGATATATTAGCGGCCATCACGAGAACGTTCTCCCTCACGTGATGGAGGAAATCCCACCACCATTCGCCCTCACCCTGCAAACTACTACACGAGTCGGCGAAGTCCGCGTCCTCTTCGCGATCGTAATTGCGTGTCTTTTGCGCCCGTACCGGATGCTCGTGATGCAGCAGTAATAGCTTGCCGAGTAGACTGAGGAACGTAACGTTCTTCGCGAATTCCGCCTCATTGCCCGGGATGAAAGTGAGATTCCTCAGGATCGTCGACAGGCACACACAACGACGGGCTAGGTTGTCCTGCGTCTCCGTCACCAGGTAGAGACTTGCCTCGTCCCTGGAGTAGCTCTCGTCTTCGTAGTCACTTATCCTCCGTCGCTTTAGTGTTCCTGCCGGATCTCTTATCTTTAATCTTGGTCCCTCCTTGTCATCTCTCGTCGTCCCTAGCTCATTTTCTTCCATCGTTTCCACCTTGACTTCGGCTTTGTCTACGGTGTTATCAATATTGCCCGGCGCTGTCGCCGTTGTGTCGTTCAGCCCGTTCTGCGTTGGTAGTGAGTCTTCGTCGTTCTTCGACACGTCACTGCCAAAGTGCTCGCCCATATTGTTGTTTGCCTTCGTCATCTCGCTGTCGCAATCCTTCTTGAAGCCATCGTTCTTCTTTTCGAACAACTCTCTCGTGAGATCGTTCATCTCTACGGGCTCTTTCTTGATCCTTGATAGTACGTCACTCAGAGTCTTCGTCTTTTTCTTTTTATCTAGCTGTTGCTGCTGTTTGCGTTCACCGCTGTCTTTGCTAGACTGTTTATCGCCGTGCTCGCCGGATTTGTGGCTGAAGTCCAGCGTCTCATGAATACTACCGATACTATCCGCTTTGGCTTCGTCCTTCAAATCCGTACTATCGACCTCTTTTTGCAATAGCGGCGGTTTTTCATCCCTCAGTAAACGGGCAAAAGGCACCGAGCCCACTTCAGATTGAAAACACGTGACGATATATTTGGTCGCGTTCGTGTCGACTTGCCACGGCTCGGTTTCCGACTCGCACTCCTGATGATCCCAAGGCCTCCGGGTATCCAAAACGAACAGATCATCATCACGAGAAACGATCTTGACGGGGCGACCTCTCCTCGAGAGATACGTGTAATTCGATGTCGATAGCAATTTTGTCCGATCCTCCGGATCGATAGGGCGCGTTACTGCGCCAAGGTCTACCTCCGGACCATCTGCGGCCTGGCAATAGCGATCGTCGTCGTTTACACATGATTCGAACATGTCGGAGAGAGAACGCGAGAAATGTTCCAGTAGAACATCCAGTAGTCCAGGTAGATGCGTTAATCCAAAATAACTTACCTGTAAAGATTTATAAATGATTTTTTACTCACATGTTTATCTTTTCTAATATTATAAATAAGTATTTTGTAATCCTTTAGTTTCATCGATACATTTCTATTAGATTTAAAAAAAATATATACATCTATATAAATTGCAATATGAGAAAGATTCGTAAATAAATTCTACAATATATATCATTTATTCGTTATATCTCTTTGATTCTATATAAATTTCTGTAGTCTGAGTCTTTTTCTTTAAAATAATGCAATAGCAAAAAGTATACTCACAGAAGTGTCATCAAATAACAAAATGTTTAATACATCGAGGGCCCAGCAGCTCTCGGCGAGCAGACCCGATCTCAAAGCCATCATGATGCGCCAAGCTTCTACTGGTGCTACGTCAGAGCGCGTCAGTTTTCGCCGCTTGTACAAAAGAGGCGTGACTGCTTCTACGCTGTCAGGAGGGAATGTCATTTCTCTCTTTGACGTCGGTTGCTGGCTGATCATAGGATTCACTCCGAGTTGAGTCTGTATAAAATAATACGATAATGCCTTGTTTCTCTATAAGACATTTCGAAAGGATATATATTATTAAATTGATTCAGACAATAATAAAAATAATAAAAATAATAAAAATAATAAAAATAATAAAAATGACTAATATACGGATAGATATTGACAATAGCTATCAAAAATCTTTGTCGAAATTTAAAGTGTAAATAAATCGGGAATCATCAGGTATGTACACTGAGAAAAAAATGCTGTTGACTCAACAGTATAATCTAATTGGAAATAATTTTGTTAATTCAATGACATTATTAAT